CAGGAGTAAAATCCTGCATAACCCTCAGGAAAGACGGGAGCAAAGAAACCGAGATGGCCACATCTGCGTAGCAAGAAGGTAGATCATTCGTTGAGTTGGAAACTGTGGACGAGAGTGGATAGAAAGGTCATTGATGGTAGCAGGAGGCAAGACACACCAGAATGCGGTGTATGCAAAGAAAGTCATTTTAAATGAGTAGTCTTAGAGGAGAAACAGTTCTACTGCTTATGACGTGGCTTTTCACTTCCTTGCATGGAAGGGTCCTCGTAAGCAATGGAGTTACGTCTTCAACAAGCATGTTTCCTTCCTTCAACTTTGCGAAATATGAAGGTAGAAAATGAACTCCAAGTGGATCAAGCTGAACCCACTTGTAGTCACGGCGTGTGTCCACGTAAGTCAATTAGCTGCCTGCATGTCGCCTACCAGTGTTTTGAATGTGAAGTGCATTTGAGGAATCGCCACGGCAAAGACAGTGGCATATACCTTTGCGTATTTCCGTTTCATTGCAATGCATGGGTTTAAATGAAGAGAACTGATTACCCACTTCGTATTTGTCACCAATGTCATTATCTCCGTGACTAGCGTGCAAAAGTCCACTCGATTTTACATGGCCAATCTGATAGGCCTCTTGCAAGCTTTCCTTCATTTTATTGCCATTTTGAACAGAAAATAGCGTTGTCTGCTCAAACCTCCACACTGCTTCATTCAAGGTATTGTCTTCAGGTAAGGATCGCCCAGCGGATTGGGGCTATTAAATGCTTCAGTTTGCCTGGTGACTGAAGCTGCGTTAAAATGTGGGTGAGTAGACTTCTTTTGACCCCTGCAAATGTGCACTCTCCGGTAGGTGTGTTTGTTCAGACAAGTCACTAGGTTGTCTTTGAGGGCATCCTGGTCATTCGACTCAGAATCTGACGCCTAGCGACCTCCTGCTGCTTTACACGTGTGTCGGCATGTCAGTGGGCCTCTTAGTGGACAAATGGAGAGTATAGTGATGATAGACGCATCGATGTCTGGAGAAGGGTAGGAATTATAGGAAGTGCTAGTGGCTTCACGTTCACTTCACAGAATTTGGCTTCTGCTTTGACCTCCTGACATGGAGCAGAATTTTGCTGAACAATTGTCATAACGTGCACCAGAGCACATTAACTGTCATCCCACATCAAGGTATCATCACGCTCCAAATTTGTCAAGCCTCGGCATAGTGGTGTTTGAAGTTGCCAGGTGACTGTTCGGTCCTGTCTACATTTCTCTTGAGTTTACTATCTTTACAGGAATAATAAACTGCAAGCATACATGAAGTGCCATAATCGCTGGCATACAGGAATTGATCAGTCCATGTTCATTGTCCTTAAAATGAAGAGAGCATTTGACAATTCACTGCGATGACACATTTTGAAGACGTAGGCGGGTGTCTAGAGCAAGCAGTGGTGAATTGAGTGAATTTGCCTACACATTAATGCTTCACTTTACCTCGTTAAATGGTTTGAAAAGAGTCGCGAAATGCTCTATAAATACGTAAGTGAGGATCCATAAACACAAATATGCACACAGGCATTGGGATACGCCTTCATCGCATTACGCGCCAAAATGCGTGGTTATA